ATATATATATATATATATATATATATATATGCGGCTGTATCTCCTATTATAGGAATTTTCCGACTTAATTATATTGGTACATAACACACGTCAATGTGTATACTATCGCGCAACGCAAACTTACCGATCAGCTGTATCTTAAAATAAAGAAATAATCAACTGCGTTGGCAAACTGATTAAGAACTAAGATCAAATTATGCAATTGCGGTCCTTGCCTTTAGGCGTGCGCGAGAAAAAGAGAAAGAGAAGACCGTCATTTAAAGATACTTTTTCTTCGTTAAGCAATTCGTTTAATTTACACTTAATAGTTTATAAGTGACTAAACACTCGGTCGGTTTTTCAATGACAGATTAAACTTAGATTTCAACTTAAATTCTGTTTAAACAAAACAAATGCTTTGTTAGAATAGAATTTAAACTTGAATCCAAGTTTAAACTGCTACCGAAAAATCGGCTATAGGACAGCGCCATTGATCCCTAATCCCTTGTCTACAACCTTGCTTTAATCATTAAGTAATCATTAATTAATAAATTGATCAACCACAGTCGATTATTTTAAAAATAATGAACTGTGATTGGTCAATTTCTTACGGATTAAAAATTAAAGCAAAGTGAACAAGGGATAAGTGTTTCCATGTGTTTCTAAATATGTTTTTTTAAATAATAATTTTGTATCATCACCCATTGAGACTCTTTTCATACTAATCATTGCGATTTACACATACTGAGATACTGCATGCACTACGTAATATAATGTAACGCTTTGTAAGCGTTCTGATTGTACGCTCACTGATATCCCGCGAAGTCCAGATCCAAGTCCTCAGCATCCATCCGTCCAATCGTTGTTCCATATCGGTCGTATTTCACTTGATTTCACTGCATCACACTCGCGATCGCGGTCGTTTTAATGATTTAATGAAAAGCACGATAAATCCCGACATTTCGATCAAGCATATTTGCACGTTGCGTCTAAACAAACGTTCCATTTCGCGAACTATTGTACCTTATCGAAAAACGAGATTTTTGTTTCGCGTAAATTCTAACTTTAGCAACGAAAAATATATTGTGTATATTGCGTATAGAGTTCCGAGCGAAATGAAATCATAACTCATCACGTGTGAAAGATTTTGGAAATTTCCACGACGATTTTTGAAGTATGCCAAAATATGTCAATTCTGCGCTTTTACTTAACGTGACTTCGCGACGATTGCTAAATTTATCGCGTGCGAAGTAATCGCGAATTCAGCGTATAGTGGCGCGATTCTGACGCGCAATTTCTGCCGCGCCATTCTGAGACGTAATTCTGATGTGTTTTTTGCATTGCTCAAAACAACTAGGGGTTACATTAGATGTTTAAAAAGTAATTGCACAATAATTTGAATTAAATCCTAAACAGAATATTAAATAAAAGCCCTAATAAATAAAGTTATTACATTAAATTAGTGATTCTCTATCAAATAACTATGTTTTAAGTTAAATGTAATAAGTTCAGATATGTAGTAAACAACAGGTATTTAAAAGAGCAATCCCCCGATTGTTTCGAATACTGTATTTCAACGGACGGCACACATACACACATGCAGAACTCTACACTGAGAGAAAAGTGTTTGGTATTTGTAACTGCAATCACGTAAAGAATTGATTATAATTGGGAAACTCATTATTAAATGCTGCTGTAGAATATTATTGATAATAATATAATGTGCATACTGCTATTTTTTGTTAGAACAGGAAAGTATGGTTAGCATCGAAAATAATTATGATTTCTAGTAAGATCAAAATTTGTTTTCTCTCAGTGTGCATGCAAATTTCTACAAACTAAGTAAATCGCATTGATGTTTTATATATAGCAATTAATAAAGATCATAAGACTCACCATCTTAAATTATTTGTGCTTCTATGAAATAACTTTTAATTTCTCACCCAAAACACCTAGAGCCGATGTTAGGATTAGTTACACTTTGCTACATATCTGAAACAGAAAATATAACTGAGATTAGATTATTAAATATTGCTGAGATTAGATATGATTGTTAATGGTGAGAAAAACTCACGTGGATACGAGCGAATATTAAACCTTTGCGATAATTCAACGGTTTTTATTTGGACAATTATATGTCCAAATTTTTTATTTAAAAAGCATTTTTAAAGTATTTAGTAGAAGAATTGAGGAAATCCATAACTTACCTTCGAGCTAATCCTGCTCGTCTCGAGTCGAGTTCTCAAGTAGGACATCTGCAACTACTACACAAAGCTACGCTTTTCAGGAACTGTACTCATAGTATAGTCTCCAGTTTTATCAGATCTGAAACAAAAAACAAGTTTTTTAGTTAGTTACATGAAAATATATGTCAACATATTAAGAACAGAACTCAAGACAAAATATCTTTTCTGGACTAATAGAAATGAAAGATGATAGGTCATGTTCTTAGAATTTTCAGAGTGTCATTACTCAAAACAATTTTAACGTGATGATCACACGTGTACTACAAATGACTCAATTAATTTGGAAAACTCGTGCGGAGATCATGCGCGACGTCTCCCAATTTGTTTATCGGCGTGTCAAGGATGGCTTAAAAGTTCTAACAATGAACATTGTTATGTCACTTATTAATTTCAAATTCTCTATACCATAATATTAATGTTATACATTGTCCAATCATCTCTTGTGATTTCGACCCTCAAAGTGCGGAATGATAGTTCGCGATAACTGTCGATGTAAACAACAAGACTCGCGACGAGTTGTTTACATCGAAGAGAAAAAACTGATATCGCGGAAAACAGGCGACAACGAAATAACAATTCCTTTAGTCTGATCTACAATGTACTCTTTGCTTTCTGTTTCTTTCCCCTGATATTTTTCCGACTTAAATCTCAAACTTTAAGATAGAAAAGGATAAAGAACAATAAACAAGAAACAAAACACATAGGTCAGGTTTTAAAAGATAGAATAAAATAAAACACAAAAGAGAGCGTCAATTGATACAACTATCAGCGATATTGCAGTATACAATCGATATATCGTGAACTCTTGTTGCTTCCAGATCAAAGGTTAAGGCATTGGAAGAGCGGCAATCTAGACGTGCTGTACTTTAAGTTCTCCGACAAAGTCGTGCAGCATCGCGTCACCAGGGCAGAATTATCTCTGTGGATATGGGGTACGAATCAGGAAAGCGGAGAGCACGGCGAGCCGATCGACTTGGAGAACACGAAGAATCAGGAGGCGGTGACGATCACGCTGCAAAGGATTCTCCGTGGCGCGGGCGAGTCGGGCCAGCCGCAGCTGGGGCCGGCCTTGACCACGAAGCACCCTCGGCCGATCGGCCGCCGAGGTACTTGGGTGACAATCGAGCTCAGACGAATGGTGGCTGAGTGGTTCAAACATCCCAGAGACAACCTGGGGGTGGCATTGAAGATCATCGGCCCGGACGGCGCTCATCGCAGGAACTCTCGGCTGGTCGAGACCAATCCCGGCGCGGAGTACGCGCCGTATCTCGAGGTGCAGACGCAGGAGCTCGACTCGCGAAGGGGCGCCAGGATCAAGCGGAACGTGGGGCTCAACTGCGACGAGAGCAGCCAGGAGACTAGGTGTTGTCGATACAAGCTGACGGTGGACTTTGAGAAGTTCGGCTGGGACTGGATAATCGCACCCAAGAAGTGAGTGTTGTCTTCTTTTTTTTTCAACAATAATGGGATCCCGTGCTCGGTCGCATGAAAAATGCGTCCTCTGCGTCTTCATCGCGTGTCTCGAGCTGCTTATTTTCCATCACCCCATCCTGTTCGCTTGATGCAAGGAGCGTGAAGGAGTAAGGTCTCGCGAGCCGTGTTCGACGACTAAATGAGATGTTTAACGGAAACGTCGCAAGTGAAATTATCGCAAACGCGCATCTACGGTTCACAAAATACTCCAGATGTGCGTCTTTCCGCGGAAGGGTATTATGCCTCACGTGGTGATTAATGCGTGGGCGGTCGGGCACGTACTCGTCAAGATTTTCCCGGCGTACGGAAATGTTTGAGCGAAACGCGGTCTTAACGGGGCAAGCGTGGCTTTCTCGTTTGGCACGTAGAACGGTCCTACGTCAACAATGCTAAACTGCGCACGTTCTGTTTGTAGACACTTCCCGGTTAAGCTGTCACGATGCCCGTACAGACGCACACACATACACACACATGCGCAGGCATACACACATATTTCGAACAGAATATTCCTTAGAAATCCGCTAACGATAACATTAAAATTAGCTTCCTCGTGTTCTCCGAGGGTTATTTTCGCGGCGGTTTCTTCGACGTTAGAGCAGAGTGGAGGAACGTTTGCAACAAGGAACCGACGGTTTCGTCGACTAATTTGATGCCCGAGGTCGCTGCAATTTGGCAGGTTTCTCGTTTCTCCGTTTTTTCACGATCGGTCTTATTAGGATCAGCGCGATTGAAGAGACCAAACTGGGCGCGATCGGTCGTTAACGGCGAACGCGAATCAACCGGCGAAGGAGGCGTTGCACTAACGATCGGTTCCCGAAATCTTTGTGTCGCAGATACGATGCCAATTACTGCTCAGGCGACTGTCCGATGGCCTTTCTGCCGGCCTATCCGGTCACGCACATCGTCGGCTTGGCGGAACCGCCGAACAACACCGGACCGTGCTGCGCGCCCAGGAAGCTGTCCGAGATCACGATGCTGTACTTCGACAACGAGTATCAGATCGTGTTCTCGCGGTTGCCGGGCATGGTCGTCGAGCGTTGCGGCTGCTCATAGTCCATCTTCGAGCCCGAGAGAACGAACGCGACGGGGACGACGCCGAGAGTGTCGCGCGAGAGGACGTCCCGCGATTGTCTGCCGCCGATCGGAACCCGGCGATTGTCGTGGTCGTTGTCCTTGTCAGTCGTCGTCGCCGTGTCCTCGGCGATTTCTCATCCGATAGACTGAAAGTGCCTTGTTCGGAAAAAGAGTCGAAACGGAGAGCGGTGTTGGGTGATCTCTTTGGGGCGCGCGAATAAGGGACGAATAAGAGGGTGCGCGCAAATGAGTAGACGCTCCGCTGGTGATCCACCAGGGAATCCTCCAAGACTGCGTGTGCTGGATGCCGAGGGAGTCGAGGAAGGAAGGAAGGAAGGAAGGACTCGCTCGTGTCGTCAGCGAATGCCATCTCGACCGGTGGTCCATATAGTCCACGGCAAGGCGGATAGTTCCTAGAGTCATGGTATTATTTTTAAGACGCCGATACGTTTGCACCCGATCCGGACGAGTTCACATCTCTTGCTGCCAGAAGGCGGGGGACACCGACCGGGGGACGTAATTGCGATGCTCACAGCACATCGCCGCTGCACGAGTGTTATGATCCCGGCGTGGCTTCTGCCACGAGCAAGTACAAAGCTTTGTTGAGGCTGTCCGCGCCCCGACCCTCGCGAGACTTCGCACAGACGACGAAGGGGATGCCGGCCAGGCCGTTGCATCTAAGAGAGGTGCACTGTTGCCTCCATTGTCTCTCGATTTCGTTACTTTCCGATTGGACGCAAGATGCATCACGTCGTCGCAACCGACGGAGGGCTTCGACGATCGGTGGAAACGTGTCGGCTAAAAGATCTCGGTGTACAGTAAACAAAAATCGTTGTTTTTTTTCTAATGTTTTTCTCCTCTCCCTTCCCCCTTCGTCTTTCTATTATATTATAAATATATTTCTGTCATTCTGACCGTTTTTTAGCGAATTGTGAGAGCGCGTGTGTGTACGAGAGAGAAAGAGAGAAAGAGAGAGAGAAAGAGAGAAAGAGAGAGAGAAAGAGAGAGAGTGAGAGAAAAAGAGAGAGTGAGAGTGAGAGAGAATGTGTGTGTCGAATTATGTAAATATATATAATTATGTCATAACACAAGCAAATGTGGCGTCGCTTCGCTGAAGATCCCCGGGGCCTCGGTGGGGCCCCACGAAGATGTTACTCATATATCGGCGGAAAACTCTCTGTAGACTCCCTTTCCTCAACTTCTTCTAACGAACGCGTACAGCTCCGAGCGAGTTGTAGCTACACGCGGCCCGACACGCGCCCGATCGCGCGCTCAGGACCGTTTTCTTGTTATGTACACACACACACCGCGGCAACTGCAAATTTCATTCACGTTCTCCCTGTCACCGGTTAACGCGCGATCGCGGAACAAGTATTGAGCGTTTCTTTCTGAAGGGTAAACGTTACGCGCGCAACGCGGGCGAAGAAGACGCCCGGTTTTTCCGTAGATTTTCTAATAACTTATGGTATTAATAGTTGTACTTGAACGCGTCGGGAGATGCGCGCGCACGGTTGTTACGCCTCTTGGACGAACTGCCGTTTTCGTGTTTTGCTTTTCATTATTGCGATGTGTATCTCCTTCCCTTCACTTCACGCGACATATAGATCGAGAGGAGAAATTCGACGGGTATCACCGTGCGAAATTGATCCTACTGACGTGACCGAGACCTGAGTTTCGTCGGTTTCCGTACAGACCCACGTTCCTGACCCGCTCCTATGGATTATGTCACGACGACGGAGAAGGTCAGTGCCATAACACGTATAGACGTATCCCCGACGCTTAAACACACAGTTTCAGTTATATATAGCGATTGAGGCCGATGTGTGTGACTTCGACGAATTCCGATCTCCGTGCTCAATTGCGGCAATTGGCGAGGGGTGAGTCTTTGTCTCTCCCCTGTTCTATCCTTGTCTGTTTTGGTTTCAATTTTGCGACATTGAGAATTGAATTCGTCGTAGTTCCTGTCGGCTCTTCAATCCCTTATTGTAAAGCGATCGTCAGAATCCGGGAACACGCTTGAAACGCATCTAATCGTTGTCGGAGTAACACCCAATTTCACGTTTTTCCCCCTCGGCTTCGAGTCAAGTGCACTGTAGCTACATTTTGTAAAATAATATACGATACACGATCGATTTGCGCACCGTCCCTGAACTTTATGTGATTGTAAAGGAAAGAAAAAAACCACACATACACACACACACACACACACATACACGCGAATTTATAAGAAAAAACACAAGAAATATACATAAATATACATAAAACTTTGCGATTTTTATAAAGCGATCATTAGGACGTAAGGGAAAACTTCTCGAGAAACCGATTCTTTTGTAATTCGTCCCTTTCCTATCGAAGCTGTCCTCTATCCTCCCATTGTCGCCGTTTCTCCCGATCGTTACGTTTCTCCCCCTCCCTCTCCCCCATATTTTTCCGTATCTTCTATTCTATAACCGAGTCTCAAATGTGGTTTGTCAATGTATGTGTGTATGTGTGTGTGTGTGTTTATGTGTGCGTGCGTGCATGTGCGTGTATGTGTGTGTGTACCGATAATTAAAAACTAATGCAATTATGTATCTTCCCAATATATGGATGAGGACGGCAGAAAATGCATACTTATATGTATAATGTGTACTTCCTAGATAGGCAGCATAGATAGAAGAATATTTATTCCATGAAATAAATGGTTTTTCGATGAAGCATGGGGTAAGAGATTTTATTTCCTCCCTTTATACGCACGTCTCTTTGACATCTTTAGTCGAGTTACGGGAGAAAAAGCGATGTCAACGAATTCACGCGGTGGATTAATCATCAATTTCGTTAACGAAATATATACCAAAAAAGACATTGATTTCAATTTTCAATTTATCCGGGAGACGCGGATAATTTTACGATGATTTATAAATCTTTTATGAGCGTACGAGGTAATCACCTCACCATCGTTCTGACGCGTATTGCGGCACTTCGGATTTATTTTAGTGAAAGGCATGCGATAAATTCGGTAATGTACGTTTTATGTGCTGCGGGCAATCTGCATTTTATTAAATTATTATGTGCGATGACGCGTAGTTCTTTTCCCCTTAATCAATGAGATTTATAGTGACGTCTGACGATAAACTTTCGGGGCACCAAACGATTGTCGCGGATCACCTCACGACGGAGAAAAATATTGTTTTACAATACGCGCACGTTGGCGCGCGTATCATATTACTTTTTCCAAATCGTCAGTACAAAGTTCCTTCTCGCAATAATCGAAAAGTCTCGACAACGATATCTTCGACGTGAAAATGTAAACAGAGAATTACAGAAGTTTCTTCCTTATTTACAACATTAAGTATTGTCAATAATATTCCGCATCGGTATCAGTCTTTTGAAATTATTGAATATGCCACTAAAAATGTGACTTTTTCCTCTTGCACAATGAAGTGAAAATAAATAAAACCAGATAAAGTAATACATAAAATAATATAAAATTAAGATATAATAATATTACATATAATATGACGTACATATATATGTAAAATAAAAATATAGAAAAACAATATATATATATATATATATATATATATATAAGGTGTTCAAAAAAAGTGGTACCAAACTTTAGAAATATGTAGTATTCGTGAAAACAAACTGAAAAGTCTTAATAATAAGCAGTATTCTAAAAACCATTTATTTCCGAGTTATAGAGCATTTTCTTCTATAATGTATAATCTGTTCATTTTGAGTATGTAAACGTATTTACACGCAACCGCACGTACACCCGTCCTTTATGAGCTTCTAAGCTTGTGAAGGAAGCTCGTGAAGGACGAGTGTATGTGCGGTTGCGTATAAATACGTTTACATATTCGAAACGAACGGATTATTCATTATAGAAGAAAATGCTCCATAACTCGGAAATAAATAGTTTTTGGAATATTACTTATTAAGACTTTTCGGTTTATTTTCACGAGTACTACATAATTCTAAAGTTTGATACCACCTTTTTTAAAACCACCTTGTATATAATATTATATATTATATAAATTTATATAAATTTACGTAATAAAATATTTATATATTAATTTATATAATATATACAAAAATAAATGTTGTCAAATAAATAAAAATAAATAAATTTTATCAAATAAATTTTACGCGTATACGTGGACATGAATACACACGGATGTCTTATACTCTGATAAGCAGACATGTGAACCGGAGAACGACAATACGCGTATTTAAACGTCTCAGATACTCGTCATAAGCAATGTAGCATGCACACAATGCATGCTGGCACCTTTGATAATGCCGAAGAGCCGAATAATTCGACGCTATATACGGAACGTAATCTTTGCATAGGTCTTGATTCGATCCCCTAAAACGTCGTAATCCGGATTTAATGATCACACAATTTGTGTATGTTATGAACCAGAATAAAATTCGATGCACGATACTCGCTGCAATTATCACTGGTCATGGATGAACAGCAAATACATGTAACTAGAAGGACCTCTGTAGCATTTGTCAGAGCAATGTAGACAGATCTTGCGTCAGATTGATGTGTGTACATAACCCGGTGATTTCAGATGCAACGCGGGTCTCGGCTTTGTCATGAATTTTAATATCGTGATCAGCTGCAACCGCGAGTCATGTGCCCTCGGTTATCTCTCACGTACGACAATCTAACGAAGCCGGTGTAATGACCAGCCGACGTCACGAACTTGCACACACCCCTCGAACTTTTTTTTTTTTGTTATTCGCGTTGTTTGTGCGTGCATGTGTCCCTCGTTCGTGACTATTACTTTATAAAGCACACGACTCAACCAAACGCACGACTGTGTCTTTTTATCGTGCCGATTTGTTCGGTTCGGTTCATATAGACGTGTTACACGTGCACCGTTACATTTCACGCGGTGGCAATAAGTTCGCGAGAACTTTGAAAACATGTTTACCGAAATCCCACGTTTATACGGATATATTTATCAACTCGCGAGAGTCCAATTGCATCAGGGCGATTGTAACTTTGGTAACGCCGTCGCTATATATAAAACTTTCTCTTCTTTTCTCTTTATGTTTCGTTGCACACGATCTCGGGAATGTCGACTATAATTGTGCCACGGTTTTTATGTTACTCGCGATAACAGTAATTGCGATAATGCAGATGCGGGGAACTGGAGAGAAGGGATATCTTATTTGTCACTGCTCGAATCGAAAGAGTGCCAAGGAAATATTTATTTATGCGATCGGCGTCACACCATATCGATAGTAGGATGCGCTTTGTGCACGGCGGTCAAACGATGAACTCGCCATAAATCTGTCTACTTCCGTGATGGGAATGATCTTCGCTACAAGGTAGCAATCGTGTAACTTCTTCATCAAAGCGGAAACACTGAAAAGTGAAAAGTTTCACGTGAACTCGACGACTTTAGCTATCACGTAACTTCTCATACAATGGTAATGTAAAAAATTCACGTGAAACCTTTCGCTTTTCACGAGTTTACGCTGGGAGAAAAGATACATGATCGATACTAAGGATAGCGATCATGTAATTCTTCCATAAAAGTGAAGGTGAAAAGTGAAAAGCTTCACGTGAACTCGCCGACTTTTATCTATCATGTAACCTCTCAAACAATGGAAATGTGAAAATTTATACGTAAAATCACTTTTCACTTTTCACGAATTCAGTTAGGGGAAAAGATACATGATATCGCAACAATCTTTCATCGAAAAGAACTCAGACTCAACCGAATCTGATTCTCTTTGATGAAAGATCATATGTCGCGACGTCTGTCAGTTTGGTTTTAATCTAGTTTTTGCGAAATTCATTTATCCGAGAAACTGTTTCGAAGACACACTTCGATCGATTCACCCGCGTTCTTTTCAATCTAATTAGTTGAATTCGGTGAAATTCAAACTTGATGCGCGGCATCGCGTCTAGAATGCATGTTCGATTCACTGTTGCCTTAAGTTGCTTTTAACGTCACGGTATGTCAGTGACACGGCCAGAGCCGCATCGCCCGGAGACGTATGACGATAATTCGTGCATATAATGCGATAGTAGATGTACGTCCTGGCAAGTAAGCCGGTTGAATTGACGGCAGTCAACTGTTTCGCCAGACGTGCCAATTCTCGTTTTATTGTTTTTCTTCGGCGGCGCCCCAGGCACTCGTCCTTGCCGACGGTCGGGTTAGTGCTCCCCTTTCGTCGAAACAGAAACGCGAAAATCGACATTAACCCGAAAACATCGCGGAATTTATTGCCTACCAAAATAGTTGGTGTCGCGCGCTAAAAATAATCCAGACGGAATCACGAAAGATTGAGTGCCGACTTTTATCGCGATCTACGCGATTTTAACGCGCCAATCAACTGCGAGACGTAAGATCTTTCTAACAATAACTGCAACTTTGTTATGAACAAGAGCAATGTTTGATAGTCAAGCGATCGCTATAGAAAAGAATATTTATTAGAAATGGAAATCAACACAGGGGATATAGTGCAATTAAATGGTAAACAAAAATGCTATATTGGAAAATAAAAGCTACTCATTTTTCAATGCACAAGCATTCTCAAAATTTCTCAAGAGTGCAATCTCATTCAAAACACATGAGAAGTGGCAGTATTTTCACTCGAAGCAATGATAAAAATAGTTATTCGAAATCATAAGGATGAATATTTCGCTCAAGCTTAGAGTGTATTCTAACTACATATGAGTGAATATTTCAATCGAGTGCGAATGTATTCCTATAAATATATTCCTGATACGACGTGCATCAGATTCTCTGTTCAGTTTTGAGTAAAAATATTCACTTGGCCATTCAAACTCCAATTAGTTATCCCATTAGTTGTTACGTGAAACTTCTCTTAAGTGATATACTCAGATTTGAGTTTAGAGTCAGATGGAAGTTTTCCAGTCGAACCGCGATTACAGACAACGGTCATATATTATATAATTCAACTGAAAAGTTTGGATCCAACTCTGAATAAAAATTTGAGTATCTCGAACATAAGACAAACTTCAAGTGACAACTATTAATATGGTCGTCAGAAGAAAGAATTTATTTTACACGAATGAAAAACCACTCGAATTCGGGTGACTCGGTGGTCACTCTGTTCTCTTCTTTTAAGTGAAATTTTACTCCAAGAAATTCAGAGAGCAATCAATTCAGAGACACTCCTTATCTTTATCGCGTCACGTATGTAAGTTCCGTCGCATTAAGATTTTCTCCAGAGACTCGCGTCAATTCGTGCCTCCTGGAATATCCGTGACAGTTTTTCGTGCATTTTGCACAAACAGGTAAAGCACGAAGGAACGCCCGCGCGATCCGCGGTGCGTTCCCATAATGAGAGTAGGTCGTGTTTCCATTACGAGAACAAGTCATTCATTAATCCGAGGTCACGTTTTGCCTGCCATCGGTGGCAATGAGCTCTCGATGGCACTGGCCCCCTGGGCCAATCTACCTAAACTCGCCAGCCGCGCCGACCAGACTATGCCTTAATAACCTTGCACTCTGCGAGGCGCACGACGTATTGGTCGGCTCATCGGATCGGCATTTAAATTGGTAGTTTGAAACATTCCCGACTAACTTTCCTCCTTCCACTTAAAAAAAAGTGCAAGATACAAGAGTCGGGGCTGCACAGACGTCCATGTAGATATTTACTAAATCGAGCTTCTCGCGGACTCTGACGAATCTGTCGATGTGTACATCTCGGATGACAAAAA